GTTGGCCCTAGGTAGGTGAAAACATCCTCTAGGTAAAACAGAGATGAAAGTCCATGATGGAGAATACTAAGGTGCGGAAGAAATCCTTTTGATCTTTTGCTGAATGTAGATGATTCCACGTATATCAGCAAAGACAAGCTGGCAGGGGACGGGTGCTGGGTCTCCGAAGTGTACCTCCATCGGTGAAGCTGAGCAAGTGACCATCAGTTCCACAGGGCCTGAGCAATCCTTCCTCACCATCTACAGCAGAGTGCAGCAAAAATGAGGACAGAAAGCTGAAGGGCGTAGCTGAAATTCACAGTCTCGTCTAACATCATTCGGGACAAGAAACAGATCAGGAAATAAGATTTATTTCTGCTTCCACACTTCTAGAGCAAACATTCACGTTTCCCTACCATCCAACAGCACTGCTGCTCTCCAGTTAGGGTTAGAGACTGCTGCTCTGTAAACGTCTCTGAAATGATACTGAGGACCCCACTTTTCTGCAGAGTGCCACGGCTCTAGGACCATTCTTCCTCCGCTGTTTGTTCAGTTCTATGTCGTGCCAGTTTGTGTCTTCAGAGACTGTAAATTCTCAGGTGCAACATAGCAAAAAGTCTCCTCCTCTGCCTCAGGGACAGAGACACACGCTGCTGCTTTGTCTTTTGAATGAAGCTTCCCAGTGGGTTAGCATCTGTTTTATGCAGCAGATTTGGTGCTTAATGATGTGAAAGCTATCCGATTTCATACTTTAAGCCTATAACATATACACATTTTTGTAACCATAATACTCAGCGCTCTTGCTAGGTATCTGAACCATGGTCTTGCAGACAGTTAAGGTAAGAAAAAAGCATTCAGTGCAGCACGAGGAACTTGTGACCTCAAAAATTGCAGGAAAACAAAACTCCCTCTCTTACCTGCCAGTTGTATGAATCCAACTGACCTTTCCATCAATCAGTCCAGAAGTTTTCTGAAGGGAAAGACTCTATTGTAACACTTTGAGACTGTTTACATAACTATAATACGAAATTCATACGAGGTACGTGATTGACCACTATACACTAGACTGCTACTGGCTGTACCCTACTGCATGAAACTTCGAACTAATTTAGAATCACAGAATCATTAAGGTTGGAAAAGACCTCTAAGATCATCGAGTCCAACCGTCAACCCAACACCACCATGCCCACTAAACCATGTCCCTCAGCGCCTCATCTACACGTCTTTTAAATACTTCCAGGGATGGTGACTCAACCACTTCCCTGGGCAGCCTGGTCCAATGTTTAACCACTCTTGCAGTAAAGAAATTTTTACTTGCCTTCTCTTCCTCATCTTTAGAGAGCTGGACAACAAATACCAGGTCTTAAAGGACCTGAGTTTCCCTTAAGGAAACACCTCCTCTCAAGAAGATTGTTTTAATTTTGTGGTTTTTATCTACAGCCCAGGAAGGCAACTAGAAAAGGAGATGAACAAGGATATTTGGAAACAAACTATGAACCCAAAAAAGCAGGGTTTGGCTTTAAAACATTGTCCACTCCATCTATTTTACTTGGAATGCAGAAGGTGAATGGAGATGAGAGGACGCAGCAGGGATTGAATCTAGCAGCAATTCTTATAAGGTGCAGGAGTGACTTAAGGAATTAGCACTCAAATCTACAGAGCCCTTCCTGAAAACCCAGTGACGTGACACTGAAGGTCCCAGCCTTCAGGGACTCCCCAGGGACAGATGCCCGAGGCGGTATTCACCTATTAAAGTGGGTGACTCAGCACAAGTGATCTAATCCACCTAAGCCGTGGCAGGTCAGCAGACAGGGTGTCTGCCTCAGGGGCAGACAGGGTGCAGCAAGGCGGGAGAACACGGTTAGCAGGAGGCACGGCTGGTGGCGGTGGCTAACAGCAACCCCCCTCCTTCAGGGGAACAGCAGCTCGCCTACGTGGTTAGCTGTGACCTGCGGTGAGACTGATCACCAGCAGTAACACTCAGGAAGGCAGTATAACCTTGGAAGGTTTCAACATTATTTTTAGGCAGAAACTACAAGGGGGATGAAACTGGAAGAGAAGACTAGTGACTAGCTCAGCTACTGCCTGTACCCGCAATCGGCCCAGTAGAGAAGATTTGGGCTGCTGTCACTATACTTCAGCAAGGGCAAGGAATGGGCATGGTTTGCCTTACGGGCGACTCCCTGGTGACACGTTACTCCATTATCCTTTTCTTTTCTTCCTCTGTTTGTGTAAATCCATTTGTTGGAACTGCTTGCGTGCAGGTGTGGAAGCGTTGTCCATTAGGCACCCAGCTGGTGTAATCCAATCTCCCATATTCTTACAACTGTATCTGGGTATTACTTGAATGAGAGCCCCTGGGGACTGAACCTGGCCCTTGTTACTGCCCATCCGTGCAAGGCAGGTGGTTTACATTAGATTACCATTTAATCTGAATGGTTGCCAGTGTAAGAATCTGCTTCTTTCAGCCACATGTTCTGAACATACATACGTCTCTTAAAACTGACAAGGAGACATACAAAGTTCATTCATTTTACAGCACCAACACCGAGCCCTAAAAAAAGAAAATTACAAAAAAAAAAATCTTACCCTGCACTTACTCTTCCAGTCTTTTTACTTACAAAATGAAATACATTCATTTTCTTAACAAAAGTACAATTCTGATAATCAAATAAAATAATGAGATTTTCAAAATATAAAAATACTCTGCTACATTTTGTCTACGGAAGCTTTCTATTTTATTTTGGCAGTTCCCATTATTGCTACCATATGCAAAGTCAGGACTGAGTACATCTGTGTTAGATAAATATCACATTGTCTCTCTAAAGAGGAGGAAAACAGTTTACAATCAACTAAGTTTACCTTGCAAGAGACTGAATTCATGTTGGGTGTTGTGCAATAACTGATCGAGAAACAGTATCTTAAGCCACATTCAAATTACTCCAATCAAGCACAGCCAGCAGTTTCTGCAACCCTTTTATCACTGGGCTAAGTATTTGGCTTATGTAAGCTGACACGGATCCACTGCCTTGTAGCTACACATTTACAGCAGCTGAAAACAAAACCCATTAAAAAACATTAACAGCCTTTACTGGGACTTCTGGTTGTTGTTAAAGACGACTATTCAGCAATAGACAAATATTACAGAATAAATCAAAGCTTAAAACTGTTTTCTATGATGTTTTGGAGCTATGTGGTATTACTACATAACTTACCTACTTCAAAGTGCAGTAAATCTGCTATTTCAAATTCCATCAGACTCAAAATTATAAACAGGCTTATGGTTTTTATTGTTGTAAACACATATGCCCCGGGCATACAAATCTTGATTTGTCCAAAAACCGAAACAAAAAACCCCCAGCCTTAGATGTCAATTCAACAGAAGTCTTAACCATAGTTAACTCTTAACCACGCACACTTAAAAGCTCACTCATGATTAAGTGTTTTGCTGAATTGGGACAGTTCATTAGGCCTTAGACTTCAAACTTGCCTGAAAAGGTTTCAGTACTAAACTTCATGAGACACTCAGTGCATGCACCAATTTTACTTCACAGCGTGTTTCGGTAAAAGCTTTCCCAGTTTCCAGTCCCAGCGCCATGAGTCACTTCCCTGAGCAAATTACTTGTGGTCACTGCGGCCAGTGATAACTACTGCAAGTGCTCCCAAACGCAGCAAGCCAGTCCTCCAAAGGCACTTCTAGTACAAAATAAAGGCACCCTCCCATATATTCATACCGTGAAGCCAGCGAGCTGTAAGTTCGTGTCTTGTCTTCCAGTGTCCTAATTTCTTCAAGGCGAACAAGCCTTCAACTCTTGGATTCGTCACTCTCCCCTCCTGATTTATATATGTCTTCAGGGTCCAGTTACTTTAGCTTAAGCCTGGAGTCAGCCTCTGGAGGTCTCTGTATCTCCACTGACTACAGAAGAAGCCCAGAATGACCAGGTCTGAGCTTACGTGCTCCAGAAAGTGCCTGAGGTTAGGCATTTCCTTCATCTACAAAATGTGTTCAGCAGTATGAATCTATAGTAGAAATGAGGTTTCAGTTAATGTATCTAAAGCATGATGACATCCCTGACTGAAAAAAAATCACCATTTAAAAGTCAGGTGTAGCCTCATTATTAAAAAACACTGTGTGCAAGCTGAGATTGACAGCCATGCCATGGTGTTTTGTGAGGCAGAGAGCCTACACCACATGCAAAATGGGTATCATGATTACTTAAAGGCCAAAATTTACAGAAATTTGAATGGCATAGTCTAATTTTTGGAGGGGACTACTGATTTTGGGTATCCTGAGTGGAGATGTTGTTTTTGAAAATGTTAAGTACTCATTCTCTGACAAAGATCAGTTTACAGGTGTCAGAAGCAAGGAACTCCAGTAATGGGAAATGTAAGGTTCTGTTTCATATAAAATCTAGAAAGTTAAATTACGTCAAAATCTCTTTCAGAAAAACTCTTTGTGAGAAAATCCTCAAAACATGTCTGCATCAGTGATTTGCTTCATTTCAAAACAAAGTAAATCCTAACTTTATATGATATACTTCAGGATTTCTGAGTGCTTTCCAAACACACTGGTGCACAATTTGTAGGTAGAGACAATGTTCAAAATCCACCCAGCCTCTAAGGGTAAAATATATCACGAGTGGCGATACATATCACAGTGAAATATACCACAGGGTGGTGCACCACATTTACACTTTTTTCCCTTGACCTACAAGTCCATAGAATCTCCTGTTGCAATGAGATCACAGCTTTCCGGTAATCATTGAAAAACAAACAAAAAACCCCAAGCCTTTAACAGCTTACATTCCTCAACATTTGTAATTTCTTTGTTAGCACAGTGCATGGAGTTAGATATATATTTTGCACGGTGGTGTCCTCTCTTGATTTCATTACTGACTGTGTCAGAATCATCCTTTATCCTTTTTGACAAAATGTGAGCAGAGAAATGACCTGGAAGACTCTCACAGAGTTTGTGCATGGGATGTGAGACTGTATTTGGAAAGTCATTGTATTCAGAGCTTTCAGACCGAGGTGTCCTCTTTGTGGTCATCCAGGTTCTCTGTGCTTTGATGGCTCCTTCTGTTAAAAGCAGAACAAATGATATGTGAACAGACTTCTGGCTTTTATTGCTAACTAATGAAGCTACAGTTTGGCAATCTCAAACAACTGAGAACCACCAGCAAGGTGTGATTGTTATGGACAGTGACTGAAGTACCTAAACAGAGAGACCATTTTTGATTAGCCTGTCCCCTCCGGTCTGCAGCTGCCACTCGGGAAAGCAGCTGGTGCACGAGAGGCCTGTGTCATATCTGCCAACGCCATGCAGGTATCTTAGATACCTTAGGGCAATGCATTGGTCCCAGATACCCATGCTTAGGCCCTGGAATTGATCCTTTAAGCATGGAAATCAGTTTCCAACTCCAGTAACTTGGGATAATAAAAACAAGACAGAGTAACAATATATTTTGATATTTAATCCATCAATCTGCTAGGATTAGACTGTTCTTATGTATGTCCTCAGTATACCAAGGCTTCATTTGGCAGAGGTGGATGATATTGAGCTAGGCAAGATTTTCTCTGGAGAGGGAGGAAAGGGGAGGGAGGGAGAGTGATAGGGTAAAAAGGGAAAGAACAGCTCAAAGCTATCCTTTCTTTTTCTCCCACGATCTTTCCTGCCTACGCCTCTAAATGGTTTGGATGTTTCTTATATGCCATAAACACCAAGAATGCAGCCAAGAATCCCATTTTCTTCTATATACAAGTAAATTGCAACTGTTCACATTTTCTCCAGAAATTTAATCTATGTAGAATATTCTTCATTTCTGGCTTGAAACACTGTACCACAATAGTGCTTTGTGTGCCACCCCAGAGAAAAAGTAAAAAATAGCAGCTGATATGTCTGATAAATAGTCCTCTAAGCAGGTAGTACTGCACTACAAAAATAAGATACTGGAGCATGTAATGGTACCATTCAGTTAATAATTCAACTAACGGAGTGTTGTTTTGTGGTAAGGAATACAGAGGTGTATGTCGGTAGCTAATAGTTTTTTGCCCAGTATGACTAAGAGCTGCTGCAGTGATGTTACTGCTGTTTGCTGCCAGTTCAAACCTACCTTAACACTTCAAGCGCAAGCTTTGTTTCTTTCCGACTTTCTTCAGTGATTGGGTAGAAAAGAAGTATAAATAATCCTACGAGGATGAGGATAGCAGGGACCGCTCCAATGAGGATTTTCAGTGTGAGGATCACGTCGTTGGATTGTCTGCATATCCCTGGCTTGTATCCAGTAAACCTAAACAAATGGAATAACAGTGGTGTGCGTACGTCCAAAGCTAAAAGGCAGTTGTTCATCTGAAGGCTCCCTTCTTTCCCCCAACACTCTTCAAGACTTTTCTCCCGTTTTTCCTACACCTCTCTTTTTTCCTTCCCCGCACTACATGTTTCAAATCTTGTTTTTCAGATCTCATTTTTATGCTCAATTTCAGATAACTGCATTACCTCTGTATTTTCTCATTATTATTATATAACATTTAACTACTAAGAGGAGCATGGAATCCCATGTAAGGAAATTGATCTGTTTTCTGTTAATATTCAGCAAAGTATTTAGGCTCTGCTTTAAAAGTATGCAAGTAATCTGACCAATTTCAACAGCAATAAATAATTTAAACACACACTTAAGTACTCTTTTCTCAAGATAGATAAATTTATTCAAGTGCTTAGAGTTAGGTACACACTTACAATTCATTGATTCAGGGCTTCCATGCAGTCCCACAACTGCTGATATACTCAAATTCCCATTCCCAATTTGTGGAATGAGTTTATTTTCCTCTAAATATGCACCTATGAAAGCTACAGCTCATTTGGCGTCACCCTGTCTTCTGTGCTCTCCCACAAACATCTGCCTTGGCAAATTGCTGGGAGCTAACTGGAATGCAATTGAAAGGGGCTAATTGGTGAACAGCGATTTGTTTGAGGGTGTTAGCAGTAAGCCTCTAAAATTCCTAAACCCAAAACATTCAGCCAAGCACTGCCTGTTATTTAGCAGTTTCAGCTGAAGGCCCTGAAGCAAAACATTCTGGTTACCAAAACCAAACTTGGAGCCAAGGGCTAGATAGTATTTCAGACAAGTTCCTTTCTAAGTGTTTATTGCGTGCTTGTGTGCTGTAGCAGCTACAGGCAAAGGCCCTTTCTGCTAGGTCATGCACAAAAGCAGGGCAGCAGATGGCTGACCATTTTCTCAACCTGACTGTCTAGTCAGAACAGGCAAGGCAAAAGTGGAAGGAGAACACAAAGCATCTTCCAAACTGAGATGGTCTAGGTGATGAGCAGAGCTGTGAGAAAGACTCTGTTCCTGACTCTGATCAGCATCCAGTTCCCTGAAACCAAGCAGGAATCAATGATCCTTTTATGCTGAACAGGCCGCTAGGCACCCCTGAAAGTACTCCAATCCATGCAAAGACTTACAAGCTAGTATACATAGTCCAACCCAGATGCAACAGGGAATGCACAAAGCAGCTGTATCACTTGTGGGGGACCTTCATCTGCTGAGTTTTCATGTTTAGTTCTTTATTCATATAAACCACTAAAATTCACATGAGTAATTTGGAAAGAGGAAAATCTAAAGGGAAGTCAGGTCTTTCTGAACCGAAACATGTTAGGGCAGGCGACTTAATGCTCAGTGGTCTGGCCTAGAAGACAACAATCCCATCTTTAGTGGTCAGTCATCTGATGTTGCTGCTGGCACTTTCAGGCTCAGGGCAAAAAGGCAATTAACTCCACAGGATAAAGGCAGAGTAACCTCAGAATGCTTTCAGAGTAGATCCACTAAGTGGAAACACAGTGTTACTTACTCCAGTCCTGCTGCAGAAATTCCTAAGCCAATTACTGCTGACGTAAAGAAAAGTTAAGAAGAATAGAAAATGGTTTCATGTCCTTTTCCATGAGGATTCTGCAGGCGAAAGTTATCAACAACATCAGGCAGCATTGACCTAGAGATAAGCAAGATAAAAGAAAAACTCAAGCCAAAAAATCTCTTCTCAAAGTCCAAACTTACTGAAAGAGTACGTCCCTCCTCCTTTTTTAAGATCTGATTGATGTAGTCATGCATATGAAAGAATCCAGTTCAAAAAGTCCTACTGCTGGCCACTTATTACAAAGTAGAAAATCACCAAAAAACTATCAGACACTTGCTGGGAGGTGACAGAATTCTTTAGACTGACTGTCATTCCAATCAGAAGTTGTGATATTAAAAAAAGAACAACAAAAAACCACGTTTCTTAAGATTTCAAGGGACTCAATCTCTGAATAGTTTCACTCTGAAATAACTCTTTTGACAAGCTAACAACATTTTCAGAAACCAATGAGGCCTATTCTCTCTCTACTTCAAAGAGACTGAATTTGGTGATGGGGATCAGAATGGAAGCTGCTCAAATGCCAATTGTGAATTGACATTTTATTTCCAATATAAGTCATGATTTACTGTTGGAAAAAAGGGCTTCTCACCCTCTGTGCAGAAAAGCTTATGTAGTCTGACAGCTTATTTCAAACTATGTTTCCATGATCTCTTGGAGTTTTCAGGGCATTGTAAAAATGAGTAATGCAAAACAGCTCTCTCAGCAACAGTCTCACTTTCTAGTCAATTTGACCTGAATAATAATTATTCCCTCTGGAGAGGAAATATCCCATCCTGCTCATCCTTGAGTAATTTTTTCCCCACATATTTTCAGTCCTCAAGAGCAAAGAACCTTGAATTCTCAGTTTCTTTTAATCATATCTTTGTGTTATTGATCTATAACAGAGGACTGCTCAAGCAGTCATTTTTTCCTCATTGGACGTGAGGAAAAATTTCTTTACCGAAAGAGTGGTTAAACATGGGACCAGGCTGCCCAGGGAAGTGGCTGAGTCCCCATCCCTGGAGGTATTTAAAAGACAGGTAGATGAGGTGCTTAGGGACATGGTTTAGTGGGCATGGTGGGTTGGGTTGACGGTTGGACTCGATGATCTTAGAGGTCTCTTCCAACCTTAATGATTCTTCCAACCTTAATGATTCTATGCACATACTCTGATTAGAATATAAGCACATTAGTTTATAGTTCTGTGTTCTTAAGCAGGGATACATAGCTTGCCTTATGTTTCCTCTGCTACGTTCTTAATTGCTCAGCATTAATTGATTTCTATAACTTCATCATTCCTGTAGTTCTGTTAGAAACCAAACCTAAGCAACTGATTTACTGTTATCACAAGTTCTATACCTACTTAGATTATTGATTCATCTACATAGTCTTATGTACAAAGAGCAGCTACAGTTACAGTAGATGCATTCTGTTAACAACGGGGCAACCAAAGTCATGTCATTGCAACTAGCCTCTACTGTAAAAGCAGAAAAAGATTCTTGGAAGAAGTGACTCTTGCCAAATTCTGCCTCTTTCGGAGGCAAATTCCATGCAGTAGTACATACGTGTAATGTAGACATATACCTCTTCCCCACCTCAAAAGTGAAATTCTCATACCATGGCAACAGAAGAGACGCTGCAATGCTCAGACCAGAGATGAAGGCCACGAAGTAAGCCAGGATCAGGTTTGGAATGGTCACTAGCATGACTGCAAAAGGAATCATCCACTGAGGAAGAAGAAAAACAGTATATCTAACTTACAGTATGCACTGCTCAATGGTATACAGATTGTTCCCTTCAAAATATAAGATTGTGTTATGAAACGGTTCACGAACAGCAACGCCTAACACACAGTATTTTGGTGAAATGGCATTTCCAAAAAGCCCTGAGCCAAACTGTATTTATCTATCCAGAAGAATCAGAGAAAAATAGGATAAGCTACGGTAGTGCCTTATCTGTTAGCAGTATTAGGGCTATAACTGCACTAGTAAATTAAACAGTCCCAAGAGCCTAATTAGCAGTCATGAGGCCAACTGGCAGATCCTGGCCACATTCATACTCCTAAACATTTATAGTCTCCAAAAGAAGTGTGGCCATATAAATACTTTTTGTGAAGTGGGCTAGTTCCCAAACTATGCCCAGATACTTCTTGGGAGATTGCTAATCAGCTTGTGCTAAGATTTTTCTGCCAATTTAGTAACAGAGATGACCAAACACCAGTTTCTATTCTAGGCCAGTGGAACTATTTAATTTCCTATTAAAGACAAAGCCTTGAAACATCATCACACTGCATTTCAAGGGGAAGGGCAGGGGCTCAATGGTCATTTTAAACTGTAAATATCCCATTTCACAGATCATCTTGAATGAAGAAGAGTTTGTTTACACCTTTATTTCCAATGACCGCTTTAAAGCAATCTAGGTACTCGGCAATAACGAAAACCAAGAAGGCAGTGTGGTTTACTCCCACTCCACACAGCCAGATACGCTCACGACATTGCACAAGTCACTAAGGCCACCCTCAAAACCAAACTAATTTGAGATGCTCAGGATTTGTTTTCTGGCAGTACTTAAAACCACCAGATTTCCTCAACTTCAACTTGAAGCAATGGGCTTACAGGATTGAAAATCCACTATTTTAAATGCTGATTGAGTGCACACAGCCCAGCTGTCCCGTACCCATCACATGCTCCACCTCCCACGCCTGTGAACCATGGGCACAGCACATGTAGAATCCAGAACCAGGGGCTTATCTACAGGGCTTTTTAATGATGGGGGATTAGTTTAACATTAAGTGTTTCAATCCTCTATACTTGCAGCTTGGGAGCTGGGGGTATGAGAAGAGCTTTCACAGAGAGTGATTCCCCTAAGCACTGCTATTTACAGTTCTGTATAAGTGATTCTGGGAGTCCTGGAGTCTAATCCATTATGTTTATGTTTTAAATGCATTTCCCATCTAAAGCATTTGCTCCTAACCTAAGGAGGCAGAAAATAACCTTTCCTGACTGCAAGTTCCCAGCGCAGACAGATAATCCTTGCATTAGCCCAATGTTGTGGCAAAATCGTTATTTCGCCACAAGAGAGCACTCCAGCAATACAAGATTTTATGTTGCCTATAAGCAATTTTATGACTGCCTTATGCTCCACATGGGGCACCCACTCAGAAACCAAAGCACTTAGACAAAATTCTAGATCGATAATAATAATCATTGTAACTGTAATTTTCTACTGAAAGAGAATCACGGCCTGCAGGACTGAGGTTACAATGCCCTAAAATCTCACTCATGCAATGGTAGTGCAATCACAGGGGCAGCGTTCCTGCTGCAATAAACAGCTAATGCATCTCCTTCTTTCCTACTTGTAAAGTAAATACTCCGTTATTGGCACCCTGCTCCCTAGTCACAGGGCTGCTGCCCTCCAAGTCATAAACGATATCCTACAGTTATCACGTGTCTTCCATCCATTCCCTGACAGCACTATGGAAGGCGACCCTACTGGGATACTAAACGTGGTACTGGCCTGTGCAGCAGCGCATTATGAAGGGCAAAATCAGGAAAAGGTGCAGCTAGGATGTGGGTGGAAATGGGGGTGGGAGAGTGGAAAAGGGGCTGCACAGCCAGGATTCATTCAAGGGCATGCCTCCATGCTGCATAGTGCTGATAGATGGCAAATAAACAATTGCATATGTGCGGGGAGGTGAAAAGATTGGTGGCATTTTGGGATTTGTTTTTATTTTTTTACTAAATCATCCAAAACCCACAGCCAAAAGCTATTATTGGCTAGGATGGAAGCTAGAGTTGTGAGAGAGAGCGATCTTCCACTTTTAGACACCTTGCCAAAACCATGAACCAACAAGCTGCCACACTTTTTAAAATTTCCCATGACAACTTGACCTCCAGTCACCAGCTGGGAGACTTACTGATTGTAAGTTCAATGTTTGCCCCGTGAGGGCAGAGCAGACAATCTAAATGAACATAGCACGTAGAAGCAGAAGCAAATAAACAGAAGAGAATGATTTCTAGTCTGTGCACCAACCTGATCACGGGAAGAATGCTATCAAGGGTCCTGCTTGGGTATGACCCTGTACTTCCAGAAAGTCTAGGCTTTAAACTTCTAGGAAGTTTAGATAATTAGTCAGTACTTAGGCTGTTGGTCATCTCTTGTGGAGGAATGAGTAAAAAGGGAGCAATATCAGTGGAAGGAAGCCAAGATTCTTGGTGCTTATCTACCTACCCTGCCTTCTATACGCTTTCAGGGGTCTCTTCAACATAGAACCACTTTAACAGGAAAAATTAGCCTGGAGCAGTGTGAAATTTTTTTCAGGAAACTGAATTTCAAATTACATCTTCACCCTGAAAGCTGAGTAAGGTTTTGAAGAAAAAAACCTTGTTTTCTCTCCTGTCTCCTTCCCTTCCAGAAGACCATTCCCCAGTGACAGACATAGGAGCCTTAAATGATGTGATTTCATTTCACAGAGAGAACAGATCAGTTGTACAGGTCACACAAGGTGGTAGTATAGGAAGCCCCTGTGATGCACTGCCAGACACAAAATCCATCACTGAACACACACTGAGTCCCTTGAGAAATGTCTACAAGGTGAAATAGAGAGGTGGCTTTTTTTCAATCCAGCCCCCACTTAGACCATCATACAGTCAAGCAACTCAACTGTAAAATTACGTTAAACCATGTTTACAGAGGTGCTGACAGGCTTTCCAGTCATGTTAAACTAAATTTATAGAGCCAAGTTGGTTGAAGAAAGCATTTTTCATAGCCAAGTAGACAGAGGAGGAGATTTCCTAAGGAGGAAATCTGCATTCCCCGGTCCAGTACTGCTTTTGGCAATTCTCTTTGCTCAAGTAGTAAAAAGAAATGAAGATGAGACTTGGTTTCCAGATGCCTACTTCAAAACACATAACGATTCAGCATATTTGGAACTTGGGTTTTAAAGTTACTTCTGATTCTTTGGAAGTCATTCCAACACAGAGATTTTAATTCCAAAATTTATAACTGTTCAATTATATTCAACAACTGCCACCAGACCTAAACTTTTCAGCTTTGTTCAGATTTTGACATATAGCTTGAGGCTCGATTTTCAAAGTTCTCATACTTTGTTGTGCACAAGGCAGACAATTTTTCCTTCCTCTTTCATAAGTAATTGAAGGTAAACAGGGGAAAAATGGGGAGGACAGGCCTATACAATGACTCACTGGAGATGATGACAGAAAATGGCTGCTGCTGTCTGCACTAAGTGAAGGGCTTAAACTAACCCATCAGAGACGAGGGCAGGCTTGCTGAACTGGCTTTGCAGAGCTGGGTCAAAGTTAAACTAGGCTTCTTTTCTCAGATAGGTCACCTATTTCTTTACTTCACTAATAACCATTTATCTCCATTCAGAGGGATGTGGGCACCCCTGCCTTCTTATGTTTCTAGAGACGGATGCGTAACAAACTTCTGGTTCCTCCTCTGTGACTGAATTACAGATGTGGTCAACTCAGCACCGTATACAAAGACAAAACAAGCCTTGTACAACAGATAACTTGTCAACCTGAGGCAACACAGATCTGAATTTATAAAACCTCATTGGGGTTCACTTATGAGAGCAGTCAAATGCAGAATTTGTGCAGATTCTTAAATAAACTGGGACCTCCCTTCAGCATCAATCCATTTCTCAAAAGTTTCTCTTGGAAACTTGGAATCTGTCTGAAATTTGGTATAACAATTTAAAACAAACTCTGAAACTGAGCAAATTTAATGTAACTTGAGGTTATAAGCACTTGAAAGAGCTCCTGAAGTGGCTCCAGTCGCCAAATGAAGTGAGCACAAGCAGATTTTTTTCTCAAAGGATTTGCTTACCGAAACCCCACATGCTGCACACTTCTTGCCAAATCGCTGCAGAAACTTCTGCCAGAAGGGAATGCTCACAGCTGCTGATACCTACAATTGACAAAAACCCATATCCGTACTGTGCTTACTGCCACTGTCTTCAGCTGTAGAGCTCACAGACATCTTTTTGTCTAGTACATTACGGTCTGAAAGGAAGGTGAACTTGCAGATTCCTGTTTCTCCTCATCCTTTGAGTGGTTTTTTTTTAATTCACTATTGTATATTACAAACAAAAGTTATCCATGAGAGGGTTTTCCACAGTCAAATATCAGAAGGCAGCGTCTTAAAATTTCCTTTTCCTAATGTAAGCCACAGCAGTTAAAGCTACACATGACACAGTCATTAAAGTTCAAACATATTGCAAATAGTCATACTTCGTGCTAACGCCTTTTGCCTCATTATTTGAACCTGACAAACTATAAGTGAATTAAGCTCTACCCCATCGTACAGGAAGAAAGCTGAAGCGCAAGATACACTTATCTTAAGATACACTTAGAGTATATATCCCATACTACATATTTATTCTTAGGAACGACCTGTAAAAGAAAGTGTCGCTTACAGTCAAGATGATTGGAAAAGATCTGTCTTATAATGCGGGAAAGGAAGAATCAAGAAGGGGTAGAAAGCGTGGGAGGCTGTGACCAAGAAGTGGAAATGAAGTTCTCCTAAGATGGTTCCACAAAGTCTCTGTGCCAAATGGGTCAGAAATCATACAACAGCTTCCCCGAAAATGACTGCTGCAGTATTCTATATGGTAGACAGATTCTCTACAAAATATTTCAGAAGTACAGTAAGTGCACATCCCAGTCATTATGCAACATTAAATGTTCTACTTGTGTTAAAAGGACTTTTGTCAGAAGGATGAAAATGGCAGTTTTCAACTTATACTACTTGTAACCATAAAGTAAATCATGCAATACAGGAGCGGTGTGTAACTGAGTTATAAGTATCACCTAAGCAAGCAGAATTCTACCTCTGCATGTCAAGAAAAAAGGTTCTGTAAAAGGATCTTTTTATCACACTGCCAATTGCTCTAGAGAGGAATCTTCCTATCTTTGGATATTTTAAATATTTATCCTTGCAAGCTGCCTAGCCCAGAAGGCTCATGTGTATGAATACACAAATTAAAGTTGTTTAATTTTCAGCATATCAGACTGGGGAAAGGGAAAAAGGAGCTAAAATTCCAGACTTCCTTTCTGGCAGCAGCTTTTGCCCTTTATGGGAGCAGAAAGTGAATTACAGGTAAAAGCAACAAGGAATGAATTAAAAGCTCCAAAGCATTAATTTTTTAGAAGTACAGTAGGGAACACCAGCTTTATTTCAAACAGGCAATGCAAAAGATGGTGTAGAATCATAGACTAGTTTGGGTTGGAAGGGACCTCTAAAGATCACCTAGTCCAACCCCCCTGCCATGGGCAGGAACATCTTCAACTAAATCAGGTTGCTCAGAGCCCCGTCCAACCTGACCTTGAAAGTTTCCAGGGATGGGGAAGCCACCACCTCTCTGGGCAACCTGGGCCACTGTTTCACCACCCTCAGCGTAAAAAATGTCTTCCTTAGATCTAGCCTCAATCTACCCCCCTTTAGTTTAAAGCCATTCCCCCTTGTCCTGTCGCAACAGGCCCTGCTAAAAAGTTTGTCCCCATCTTTTTTATAAGCCCCCTTTAAGTACTGATAGGCTTGCAAGAAGGTCTCCCCCAAAGCCTTCTCTAGGCTGAACAACCCCAACTCTCTCAGCCTTTCTTCAGAGGAGAGGTGTTCCATCCCCCTGATCATTTTCGTGTCCCTCCTCTGGACCCACTCCAACAGGTCTGTGTCTTTCTTATGCTGAAGGCTCCAGAGCTGGACGCAGTGCTGCAGGTGGGGTCTCAGCAGAGCAGAGTAGAGGGGCAGAAGCCCCTCCCTCGACCTGCTGGCCACGCTCATTTGGATGCAGCCCAGGATACAATTGGCCTTCTGGGCTGCGAGCGCACATTGCTGGCTCATGTCCAGCTTTTCATCCACC